CTTGGCCGTACAGCAGAATAAATAAAATAAATAAATAAACTAGGTAACATCATCAGTCTGAACATCATTGCACTGATGATGTTACCCATGTTGGGTAATGAAATATCTGCAAGCAAACAACCAAGCTCAGAGAGCACCAAGGACTCCACAGTTGAACCCTAAGCTATATATATTCTCTTCTGTTGGATAATTAAATCAATCATGCTTGTATATTAATTCCTTTACCATGCATATTCACCATGTAATCAAAGCAAAATACTCCCCAGTCACCATTCTTATTATTGGATCGCTACATGGCCCAGTCACTTTTTCTGCACTTCATTGAAGTGTTAACATTCAATAATCACCAGGCACTGCACTTCTGCTTTTATGTGTCTCCACAACAACCTTGATGACACCATCAAGGACTTTCTGACATAAATTTTAGCCTTTTCATTCACAGTTAAACCTGCACCTTCTCTTCCTTGCATGCATCAGCTTCATTTCACAAGATCTGTTACATCTTTCTCTTAGCTTCACAAGCACACATTATTTCTATTTTATTTTGCATTATTTCATTCATTAATTCATTACCTTTCCCATGTACTTTTATGTTCCATATAGCAATATTCCACATGCCATAGTCCATCGCTAGATTATAGGCTCATCTTGGCTTTGGGCAATGGAGGCTTTCATGTAATACTCTTTAGTAAGTTACTATGCCCCAAATGCAACTAAAGTTTAGTTTTAGCCCAAGCATATTCTCACAATTGTACACAAGGTAGGATTGTTCATCTAGAGACAATTTTGGAAAATGATTGAAGCCATGTAGAAGCTTCTGTAATCAATTTTAATATAAATAAATCCCATCAAACAGGAAGTACAGGCAATGTGCTGGCAGTGTCATGCATCTTAACCCATATTAAGATAAGGATACAAATAGGTCTGATGGCATTTTCCATCGTTTTCTTCTATCTTCTATTACTTTGGAACACTTGGTTTTTCTTCACTGATTTTCCTCCCATTTTTTATCACTGCAAGATCAAATCACTAGATCTGGCTAGATGCAGTTTTCAAAGCCTAGAATTTTTCCATGATTCTAATTAAGAACATTCTCCATGCTGTCACATCCAGTTGTTACTTTTTCCTATGAGCTTCCAAAATTCTGTCATGAGTGAAGCAAAGTATTTCATTTTTTTGTTCTTCATATTAACACCAGACATTGCTCTAATGATGATTTCACATTATCATTGAGTGTGTCTGTAATATGAATGGCTATGCAATGCCTGGGTAGCTATTGACGTTCTCTGTAACATTTTCAGCCAGCTCTTAACCATTAGCCTAGCCTGGCTGTTTCAATATGATGATATATTCTGATCCATTTTGATCCCTTGGGGATAAGATGGTAAAGATATCTAAGCAATTAAAATTAAAGAGATACCTGTAAATTATTCAATATTCCTCAAATATATTAACAGTGAAATCAGAAGTAAGCAAAATCTATATGAATTTACCCTTCCCTGAGAAGCTGAAAATGTATCAGCATCAGCAATCCTGCTAATTGAGTATTTTCTTCCTAAACAGGAAATGACCAAAATCTGCAAGAGCCATCTTACAGCACAATGGATAAAGCATCTTTCACTTTGGAAAAGGCTGAGATGAAACAAGTAAGGAGTAACTTGTACACGACATTTTCATCCCATGATAAATCAAATAACTTCACGTTAACCTGACAAGAAGTTGGTTTTTAACTGTTGGTTCACCAAATGAATAGTTGTAACATCTGCTTAAAAACAATCAAAACAAAGATATTCACATTAATAAAGAGATCATATAAAATGAGTTAAGGGAATATCTTTAGAATGCAGAGTAGGATTGTGTCAAAAGAATGTGGAAAGACAACATTCAAGAATACCAAGAACCTATAAAAAATATAAACTTTAAAGAGAGTTGTAAAGCATTGGGTGACATCATGAATGCCATTTTTTTTAATACCAAGAAAGAATACCATAATATTGTATTGTAGTACCATTTACGATGGTCAATGGTTAAACATATTCAGATGATATTAAGTAAATATGTTCTTAATAAGAGTAATTGTATTGTGGCCATTCTTATGGAACCTAATTTTATGTGAAGATATATTTCACAATTATTTACAAGACCAAGTTGCATGAGATGCTTGCCACAAAGCATGTTATTTTCAGAAGACATTCTTGCAGATGATGCTTCTATTAGTATCCTAGCCCTATTGGCTTAATCACTGATCTTGTCCAGCATTCTCTTCCCAAAATGACCAATCATTTTGTTGTGAAGAAGTCCTCAAGCAGGTAAAGGATGTAGTAACATCTCTCATTCTTGTTTCCTCAGAAAGTGGAGTTCAGTGACATACTCTTATCCATCATTACTAGTAGTCTCATAGCAATTGATAAATTGATAATTTCTTCTTTATGTCTGGCAGGATACTCCTGGGCTTAATGAATGCTCAAGTGACAGCTTATTACTTCAAAGAATTTCTACAATTCAAGAAGTACCTACATACTCCTGTCCACTGTCTAATAATGTAGCAGCAGAAAAACCCAGCAGCCTAGATAGTTGCTCCTTAGGAATCTTTCCAAAAGAACACCACCCAGATGTGGATTCTGACTACTGCGGGCCTTCCATTGAACCTTATAATTTGGAATTCAAAGATACAAAGAAGAGCCAACCATGTAACTTTGTGGGATCACAGATTACTCGGCCTATTTTTGTTAATTCAAAAGCAGGTTGTAATAATGTAGAATCAAAGGATAAAAATGTTACCATTCTAGAGCCTCCTATTCCTATCGCCGGAAGAAAAGAACAAGTCATAAATGGAGATTTGTATCCTCCTTCAAAAGAGCAATTTGTTCCCACATGCCAAAATCCATGTTCTGTTTCGCTCACATCAAGACTACTTACTGAGACATCTGTTTCAAATAAATCCTTACCTGGAACTCCATCTAAACAAAAACAAAGCCTGGAAGCAATGAATAAGCCAACTCATTTGGAATATGAGGATGTAAGCAGCAGTGATGATGAAGATAGGCTGGTTATAGAAATCTAAGGAATAGGCTACCTATTATTTAAAGCAGGAGCTCAATATGAAGGGGCAGCCATCATCAGTCTGCCTTTCTCTTGTATCTTCAGTGTCAAAAGCCGTTCCCATGCATATATTTGCCAAGGATCTGGGCTTCTTTGTATGTGCTTTTCTTTTATATGAGCAATTAGTTGCACATTTAAATGCCCACAATAAGCTTAGTACATCATAATTTCTCTCTTCATCAAATTCTCTGTATATTCAACCCCATTTTATCACTTTCTATTCATATTACAGAAAGTAAATCAGACAAGAATCACTTGCCTCATTTGAGAAGTGGAAAGTTGGCCCTGAAATAGGAAAACAACTTCTTTTCTCAGCTGCTCTGTGCTGCTTATTTACTATAACTTTTCCCTTCTACAATTTTGCATGAAATCAATGTCCTTGAGGCACTCTACAGTATTTTTGTATTGCACAAATATTCCATTTTCTCTTTTGGCAAAGAACCCAAGCACGCATTGCTTTGTTTTGTGCCTTCTCTGTAGAGATCTGTATGTATTTCCTTGTTTCTTTGATGCAAGGTTACCTTTTCCAATATAGAAGATATTCTTTGACTCATTTCTCAGGTCAGTTGGGGAAAATATTTATTATTCCAAATGAAAATGTGCATGAGTTTTGTCACAAAGAACTGAAAGCATAAATAATCAAGGTACTCCTTTTCTTTCCTCCCCTTCTATACACGTTAAATCTGTGCACTTAAGGTGGCAGTTAAACTTTTGTTGAGGAACTTTGTTCAGTTGGCTATCATACACTGTCCAATTGGTTATCATGCACTTCGCTGAACACATCTCCATTGCATTAGAACACTGTTGTGAAGCAATGGTCATTTGAAGCTTAACTGCACTGTTGTATTATACTTGTTTTATATTTAACCTTTCATATTTTTTTAAATTTTGTGTTAAAAGCTATTAAAACTTTCATGTAAAATTCATAGGTGCCTTTCTTTGAGCAGGAGACAGATTGATCATGATAATCTGTAGGTTGTTCCTAATCATGGTCCCAGTCACGCAGTAAAGAGAGAAAAAAACACATTTCTGCAAAACTAAAAGCAGAGAAGGATGAGTCTTCTGCTGAATGTATTAATACTGAAATGACTGAACATCTAATCATCTGAATTAATTATTGAAATGCCACCACATATGTTTATTCCTTGAAACTGGAGATCACATTATGACTGATTATATCTATTCCTAACTTTCTAAAAGCCTTTCCACAATGTAATTTTTTTTAAAAATGCAACACGGGATAAAAGTCCATGGTACAAAATGGTTGCAAACTCCACTGCAAGCTTGGAAAAGCAGGTAGAAAGCTTCTGAAGGCTTTCCAGTTAATATTTTAGCCATTTTTATGTAATCCTTGAAATTAGCTTTTATCTTCATGCAGTCCTTAAAACTTTGCAGGGAGCTATAGTGGCAGAGCACAATAATGGCTTAACAACTGCTCACAATCCTGAAATACAGATGGAAAGGGGTGAAATATATGACCCCCTTCCAGTGACTGGCTTTCTTTAATATTCAGTAACTATGTCCTTATGACTCAGTGTGAAATTCACTCCCTATATTTGCAATATTTATTTGCCACATCCATAGATGGAGGAACTAGATGGGGTGGGGAGAGAGGAGAAACCACTGCCTACGTGAAATAGTCATGGCCCCTCAGCATAAAAACTCCTGATCATCTCCTCTTCCCCATTTCTAAAATTTCACAGGCATAGCTGTTTTCTAATGAACTCAAATTTTAGTCTGAATTTGCATTGTAAGGCTCAACCCCAGCCCTTGGTAGCAATATGCAAATATTTGCCCAAATAGGCTGCTGATCCACTCTTGTTGCCTAGCAATGGGGAGGCTAGCAGAGTTGTGTAAAAAAGAGGGGACTGAGTTGCAGTTTAGTTGCCATGGTAGTAGGGATTAGCAGATCCTGGGCGTTTCCCTGGAGATGGCATACAGATGGGTAGCCCGCAAAGCCTCCATGTGGCTGTTTGGAGTCAAGTAAATGTTGACAGAGGAATCTAGAAGAAACAAGAACACATTTTGTGATGCATCAGCTTTGCCCTCCTTGCTGCATAAAGTTACTCTTGAGTCCTTTTGGATTTGTTTTAGCCAGAACATACAACAATCCAAAATATTTCAGGTTTTATTGCTGCTGAATCACTGCTGATCTGAAATTATTCATCAGAATATCCAGAGCACAATAGTTCTGAGTTTGAAAGAGAAGTATTTTTTTTGGTTCATGCACATCCTTACTTGCTAGTTTATTAAAATGAGAACACAAATATCTTTTAAAAATGTTTATATAAAGTGGAAGACATAGACAATTCCTTATGCCACTAACATAAAGAATTTTGATTTTACAATCACAGGCTGGGCAGTTTTCCTTTACCCAAGACTTTATAGTATCTTGAAAAGATAATTTAGCACAGGTTCAACACAGAGTTAATATATATTAAGTTCCCTATTATACCCTAGCCTAAAATAATTCTAATAATATTTACAAATTATTATTTCCAAAGGGCTGTAAGTAATCATGCTGTATGAATCAAGGTTTCTGTAGAACTAAACAAGTACTACAACTCTGATTTAAAATGTATAAAATATATCAAATCTACAAAAACAAAAACAAACAAAAAAACCCATAGCACATTCGTGCATGTGTGAATTTATTGCATATATTATGTATTCATGATCAAATTTCATAGCAAACATTTACTAATACGTTAAAAGACTGTACCATATAATTTCTCAGTATAATCCTATTGATATATCAGAGTAAGGAAGTTGTTATGGCCAAGCTGAATCAAATCCAGGTTAACATGTTGGGGGGCTACATGCCAGATAGAAATGTAGTCAGATCCCCAAATGGGCTAAGATACACTCTTCTTGGCACAGTCCTCAGTATGCTTCCATTCCATGTATGTTGCACCCATGTACAGAGCCTAGTATCCTCCCATCACTTTACACTAATGGAAGCTGGTTGAAAGCTTCACCATTGCACAGTACAAAGAGAGATGATATTTGCATTAATCTGTAGCACTGTCAGCCCTTTCCAACAGTCGCTTCAAAAATACCCTTGAACAATAGGCAAAAAGTTATTCCCAAATATGCTTTTTCCCCCTTCTGATTCCTTCCACAACACAGGCTGGAAAGAGGATCTCCATAGTTTAGGCCTGCAGGCTAGTCTGATGCCATTAATTAAAATGTTTGTATATAATCCAGTATCTCCAAATGGATAATGCACTTGACCCAATTTTTCAGTATACTTGGGGCAAATATTTTAGTCTTTATTTCCCACTGAACCATTTCTCACATTTTCTCAGTTAAGATACCAAATCTTACTTAACATAAGCTCCTTGCTAGAGGAAAATAAGATTCTGGAGCACTCCAAATACTTTAATACACTACTCTGGCAAATGTTATCTGATTAAAATGCTACTTGTGAAATTCTGCATTTCTCCATCCTTACAGACAGGGTGATATCTTAACTCTATTAAATTGCTTAAAAAAATTAAAAATGTCCCAGAATTACAGTAGCCTCTTTTGGAAAAGGACAACTTAAAAGAGTCACTTATATGGTATTCAGATATCATAATGTATATCAGTGTGGTCCACTGATACTTTGTTCCAGAAAAATAGCCTTATTAGTGAATTATATAACCAATTCCACTTGACTGTGGTACAAGACTTGCAATCACAGTCAATTGTATCTGAACTTTCTCTCCGAGAAACAAAGCACATCAAAACAATGAAATGTGTTATGATACTGCGCTAGTCTCGTTGAACGCATTTTACATCTCCCCTCCCTTGGGAAGAAGACAACATAGACATAACCGAAGTAGTATTGAGGCCACATTTAGAACTAAGGTACGCTTACTCAGGCTTGCTCTAAACCTTAAAATATTTGGAATGAATTACAGCACAAGGATAAAAACGCAAAAACATCACACATTTAAAAAGAATGTAGGGGGGAAGAAGCAAATGACACTTACTGACCAGGTGCCATCTGGCTTGCTTTATTTCGGTCTTGTCTGCTCACTAACAAGCATTCAGAGCTTATCTAGGCAGTCTGTGGAGCAGAATACTGGTTATTCTTCAAATGGTAATATCTCATAGCAACCTGTCCAAAATAACCAGAAAAGAAGCACATATTTCTTATATTAACCACTCCCTGAATAGTTAGCAGAAGTTAAAGCCATAGCATTAAAAAAAAAAAAAGCCTTTTAAGAAGTAGAATACAGAAACAATGCATTAAAAATGTGTTCATTTTTTCCTAAAATGAAAAATGTCATCTTGGAATATATATGATCACAACTTAAGTTCCATTTCCTGGCTGAAACTGATTATTTGGATGTGATCCAATTGGATTTCTGGGTGAGTTTCAGAACTGACATGTTCACCCTTAGTGGATGATCTGAGCCAGGAAGGTATGAGAATAGTATTATCCTGAAATGCTTGATGACTTTCAGCACCAAGAACCATGGTATTGTTATAGTATTAGTGATAGGGGGTGGGCACACATCGTAACATTAATACATCATCTTTACTGCATTACATTTATTTATGAGATGAGTTTGGTTAAGGGCAGTGGATTAGAAACCAGGAGACTGAGTTCTAGTCCTATCTCAGGCACAAAACCATCACCAAGAGTGACTTTGGGCTGGTCACTCTTTTAGCTCTGGGAAGAAGGCAATAGCAAACCACTTCCAAAAATGTTGCCAAGAAAACTGCAGGAACTTGTCCCATGTAGACATCAGGACTGACTTAAAGGCCATTTTTTATTTATGTACATTATCTTTAGTGCTTCCATTCCTGACCTCAGAAGGTGCTGCTAGAAGGCTGCCATTTTCTGGCATGTCTGCTGGCTTGCAGGGTTATACTGAGAGCCTATTTCATTTCCATGGTTTGTAACAGCTACATAAAACCAAAGGCCCCTCCCTATAAGGCTTCTAGATGAAGCACCATCACTTTGCACCTGCAGCTCTACCTCTTATTTCTACTGTCTAATTTTAGAGAAGCAGTGGAAGTAATATATCAATGTCAGGAGTAAATACAAGAATGGATGAGGTCAAGAAGTTTAACATTAAATCAGGTAAGATAAATGTAGCAATGGTCTGGGTAGTGGGTTACATTCCCCAAGGACAAAGAGGTCAGTATGTGCTTTCTTCTGGGGAGGTGGTGGAGGGAAAGTCTTAAGGAAATACCTTTTTCTCTGGAGGACAGGTGACCTTATCAGCTTGTGTGATTCACATGCCACCATCCTCCTGGAATCAGATTTTGCTTTGGTTACCTATAGTGCTTTTGAATATTTAGCTTCAATTGGTCAAAAATACAGCAAACAAATTTTCACTTAACTTCTGTGGGCCAGAATATAACTCTTAGTCATTTTAGTTTCATTGTCCACACATTCCAAATATTGGACTTTATGCCCAATTCTTAGGAGAACAAAGAGAACAGAAATCAGTTATTATTCTCCAAGCATAACAGCACAACATAGCAAGTATCTGCTTGTGAGTCTAGTCTCAATCATTTTAACTACAGATCCCATTCTCACTGAGAAACTGCCAATTAAATCACTATGGATTATGTACAAAAATATAGCACAGAGTTGAGTAATCTGAAATGTTACGAGAGAATTGCTTTAACAACACTTAGCTTAACCATGTTTTATAATGTTATATAATATACCTGAAGCCCTTACAACTATCCTGTGGAACATGCGGCCTTTTTTCACGCACATGTGATGGAATGGGCTCCAGTGTGCTACAGACAACATTCTTGCTACCTGCCACATTCCTACCTCATCTGACTTAATTTTTGAAAAATAAAGGGGAAGCTGGCATGCTGCAGAACACTAGCTTCCAACATAATCTATTTCCAAGAATACCTCGTTAAAAATAAAAACAGGGGAGATGGATTGCTACAGCTTGAGCTTTATTTCAACATGCCCCATCTGAACAGGAAAAAGAAAGGGTAAGCAGGTCATAAGGATAATTGTTCTGACTGTGCATTATACAGCTGTGTCAGTCTGTAGTTGATTGAACTACAGTTTACTTGA